AATGGCGTGGGCACGGTCCGAGGAGAACAGACCGCTTCGAGGGAGTGTTATGCCTCCGCACTCAAAGGCTCATCGGTCTGCGCCCTCGAAACTCATCCGGTAGGGATGGGACGCTCGAGTTCGAGGCCGACCTGCCGAGGAGGGAGTCTGCCGCACCCACTGAGGAGCTCGAGCTTGTTCCTCTGCTTAGTCCTGAGAAGCAAGTAAGCATAGGAACCAAGCTGGGGGCCACCGACAGAGAAGAGCTAATCCACTTCCTCAGATCCAACTCGGATGTCTTTGCGTGGTCCCATGAGGACATGCCTAGCATTGACCCGAAAATCATGACGCATCGCCTCAGCATAGATCCGTCATTCCGACCTGTAAAGCAAAAAAGAAGACCTATAAACAAAGAGCGGAGTGATGTAATTGTTGAGGAAGTTAGCAAACTTTTGAAAGCTAAATACATAAGAGAAATTTCGTATCTCGAGTGGCTCTCCAATGTTGTATTAGTTAAAAAATCTAACGGAAAGTGGAGAATGTGCGTAGATTTTACGAACTTAAATAAGGCATGCCCGAAGGATTGCTTCCCGCTGCCGAGGATTGATCAGCTCGTGGACGCCACAGCCGGGCACGAACTGCTCACCTTTATGGACGCCTACTCTGGGTACAACCAAATCAAGATGCATGTCCCCGATCAAGGTCATACCGCATTCATAACAGACCAAGGTCTGTACTGTTACAAGGTCATGCCCTTCGGTTTAAAGAACGTAGGAGCGACCTACCAGAGAATGGTGAACAAAATAGTCGCCAAGCAGATCGGCCGGAATATGGTGGTGTATGTGGACGACATGCTCGTCAAGAGCAAGCAGTCGAAGGCGCATCTCTCCGATCTGACCGAAGCCTTCGAGGTTCTGAGGACATATCAAATGAAGCTCAACCCAGCTAAATGTGCCTTTGGAGTCTCTTCGGGCAAATCCCTTGGCTTCATGGTGAACAACCGGGGAATCGAGGCCAACCCCGAAAAGATTAAAGCCGTGATAGAGATGGAGGCACCTAAGACGCTAAAGCAGCTCCAGTGCCTCAATGGCAGGATTGCGGCCCTGAACCGGTTTGTTTCAAGATCGACAGACAGGTGCCTTTCTTTCTTCAAAGTCCTACGAAAGAAAGGGTCGTTTGAATGGACAGCGAAGTGCGAACAAGCATTTCAGCAATTGAAGAGCTACCTCTGTTCGGCACCTTTGCTCGCCAAGCCCATGCCGGGGGACAAGCTCCAATTGTACTTA